GTGGTTCCCGAGTTGAAAGTTGCGGACAAGTTGCTGCGGACACACACACACACACACACACACAAATACACACACAGACAATCCCGTGACAATTTGCTTTTTGTACTGCTGTTACACAGCAAAAAACGCATAAAAAGCTTAAGACGAAGAATCACTTTATCTGCCCATTTATAATAGAAATTTGCGTTGTCCGGTTTACACGTTAACTCGCATTTGTTCTTTCCTGGATACGGCAACCACATGTAGTAGTTGCCGTCCAGTGGCGTATCATCATGTTCCGAGCACTGTACGGCACGAAAATCCTTTGCACCAGCAGCACAGTCTTCAGTGTTGCAAGACACGTAGCGTGTCGATGGGCCGGTGCATTCACCACTGCAACGAAGGAAAATCACATGGCAAAAGCTAAGGACTGGCGTAGTCACAAGTCAGTTATGACCACCTGTCCTAACTTACTGCTTTACAGGGATTTAGTATTTTGTCTGTTTCCAGCAATCGGTACTTTGTTTAGCTAAGATTAAGTAACAAATCACTACCAGCCAGAGCAACAGATGGCAATGAAACTAAAACTACGCGCCTCTCAGAGGTTGTTCAGAACAAGAAGTCACTAGAAAAATCAAAGTTGCGAGGCGATACTTGGACAGTTGCTAAAACTCGACTCGAATGGGCCGCGCAAAATGACCACTTGTATTTAAGGAAGAAGCAGCATATAAAAAAGTAAGAGAAACGCAGGATCACGGGTATGGAATGAAGTTGGGTTTTGATACATTCAAACTGTGATGTATTTGCCACGAAACGGCGTGAACAGTTTAAATTTTTAAGAGTTGCAAAAAATGCTCAAATGGCTTTCATTCTAATTTAACCGTGTCTAAACATTTCAAATAGGCTGAAGCAGTTGGACAGCCGAGAAACAGCAAATCATTTTAGGATTAACAAATAGCCATAGTGACCACTGACCGCCAAACTGGGATGCCATAAAACTAACACCCACTAAAGACTAATGAACCCAAAATATCTAGAGCATAAAAACTGATTTTATGATAAAATTTAACAAGCCGATCTAAGTCTATCTTTTGAAAAACAAAATGGAAATTGGAGTGGATTCAAAAATCGGGCTCCAGCCTACGACTGTGCTTATTGCGATACGTGAAGAAATGTGCTATAATTTTAAAAGCGTAACAAAAACTGTGCTTACTGGCAAATTCTCCTCTCAATTTGCACACCACCACCACAGGTCCTCGAGCACTGCTGTTCGTAAGTCCATAGCCCCCAAGCACCAGTTTCGGCATGTCCCGATTTATCAACTGTAACCGAGGTATCACCTCCTTGATACACTTGATACGCTTGCCGCCTAGCCCGCAGTACTTCTGGATCCACTTCTACTGGCGAACCAGGGTACAGACTTATCTCTGCCATCTCCTAAACACATTTGTTAAAAA